TCCTACTATTTCTGCCCTAAATATAGAAAACTGTTCAGAAAAAAAGTTGAGGAAATGACAATAATGTAAAGTAGGTGTGTTCTCTATGCCTTCATGATATGCTGTTCTTTAGGTTACTGTTATTTTCTTATCCCAAAAATATGATCAGTAACAACTTTTCACACCTAAATAATACCTAGGTAATGCCTCCACATTTTTTTAATTGATGCAGTTGGTTTATTTGGACACATCAAAGCAGAGCAAGACAGCAGAGTCTTGCTTAAGGTACTGGCAAGGCTGTGCAAAGACTTCAAGAGTCCCAGCTCTCTGATCACTGAACAGCACTGCTGTTTTTACATCTGTATGAGCAGAAGAGGTAAAGAAACAGAATCATGATGTAGGAGCAATAAATACTGAAACATACACAGAAAAAGAGAAGAAACGGTGTTTTCAAAGCTTGGAACTGCATATTGGTTGACACTTGAAGGTTACTGTTACTGCCCCTTACTTCAAAGGGAGGGATCTGGAAATGGCATCCTGCTAAACTGCTGTATTTTTTTCCTCCCATCGCATCACATGTGTAAAAAAACTTTCCTGGCCTCAGAGGATCACATTTACAAATACTGGGAACACACTGTGGAGTTGAACTCTCTAAGGCATGTATAGTCCAGTGCATGAGACACTACCATTGACCTCCAGAGAAACGTATTCACATCCTGGTTTGGCATTACATTTCTTCAGGTAGTTCACCAAAGCTAAATACACAGTGGGAAAAAAAATAAAAAATATTAGGCTAAGTCACGCCGCGCTTTCATTTTCCATGCAGCTATAACCTCATTTAAGTTTCAGTGCTTTCTTCATTCCTCTTGAAATTCAAACAGGGAAAAATCTACCATTGCCTTTACAGCAAAGTACAGCGTTGTCAACTGGACTCTGCATGTATACCAAGTATAAAACATTTCCTTTCAGCAAGACCCCCAAACAGCAAACAGTACCCCTACTACAAAACCTGACATTTCTACAGAGGTATTTTAATTCAGATAAAAAGTGCTGGTATCAACCTGAGACAGTAATAGGACCGGTACATGAGGTATTCATCAAGCTGTAACTTTTAAATATTTTTTTTTTATTATTACTCATGCATTAGTGGGTCAATCCCTATCTATACATCAGTGGAGTCTTTTGTTTATGGTATGACTTTGAAAGAAAAAAGAAAATTTTTCTTAACCCATCTCGTGTCTCTTTCTCTACTACTTTCCTTACAGGAGCTTCCAAGATATTCTTACAAAGAATAAGATCACAAATTTCACATTTTTATTCTCTCTCCTTTCAAATCTTCTTGACTTCATGCTTCAAATAACTCTACCTGCACAAGAGAAATAAGAGAAATAAACATGTCCTCCCTGCCCCAAACCTAAAATAGCAGATCAGATTTTGTATGTTATTGTTGTCAAAGACTAATAAAGGTCTGATGCTATGAACAGATGCTACCTCACCAAGCCTTTTAATTTCATGGATAAATCTTCTTTCCAAAGCCACTGCTTTTACATCCCTTTTCCATTTTCCCATACCAACAAAATTGTGAAAAAAGTTAGTATCTCCCCCATAACTGACCATATGCCATTCTATTTCAAAGTCCCTCCAAATGCTAGGTAGCTCAGCTCATACGTATATGTATTAAAGGCATCCTTAGCATATCCACAGATTTGTGACCGCGTGTTTATCCTGGAGATGTTTTCTTTGTCTAGATTCATGCCTCAGTTGTTTTAAATATCCAAAACCATGAACCAGAGATAAACATCTAGGAAAAAAATATATTTGTTTCCTTCTATTACAGCAGTAAAAATAAATTAATTTCTTTTCTCTTCTGGGCCTTTAATAATCTGTATCACAGCCTGAGTCCTGCATTAAATGCTGATGTCGAGTCTCCCCACTTTGCTGTTTCATACCTATCATACCACTCATCGCATTTGTCACAGACAGCAACTCTAAGAGATGTGGAATGTACCCATCCTAAATAGAATAAAATAAACCCCACCCACCACTGTAACCAGCACTTTGATTTATAGCCATAACTATTTACATAATCAAAACATTTCATGTAGTCTAGTGGAAAGTCACCAGAACTTGAAACATCATGACAAAACCTAGAATTTTGCCATAGTAAATGCTAGAGAAAAATCAAAGATTAGTTATGGTTTAGGATGTCTGAAAACATGGAAAATCATAATAAAAAAAAAAAGTCGTCTCAGCTGTATTTTGGACAAACCACCCCTGCAGGCCTGGCTCTACATGAAGCAATTTGAATAATCAGTTAATGGGGCATAATAGCCAAACTACGGTCTGTGCCGTTGGTTAGAAACTCGACAGGAATCTGAAGTTAAGCAGAAAAAATGCTTAGCATCAGAGGCTCAGCTGTGTTCATTGTTTTCTGGTAAAACCAAAATAGTGTCATGATCTCTTCCTGCATCTCAGCAATCCTCAAGCATCAGAAACACGCATTTTCTAACAAACAGATCCTTATGACTTCTCAGCACAGCTTTCCTTTATTTAGACAACAATTTTCCAATTTTTCCTGGGACTGTGAAGGCTGTGAAAGCCCTTGAGCCCAGTTTGCACCATGCAATGGCACTTTGTTCAGCTAGCCCGGAAATTTGCAGGGAACTTTGGAATTCCCTGTGCTACTCCTTGCCCAGAGGAAGTGTCCTAACAGCCTTCCAGGCAGGACCCTAAGAAAAGCACAGCTCATAAGCACATAATTCTTTGGTCTTCTGCTGTTTTCCCCTTCTCAATACAGTTCTCCCGAAGGCCAAGGTTCTTCAGATCGAAAAATCTGGAAGCCTCAGGTGAACCTGAACAGTTGGTCTTCCTTGTGCCTTTTTAGCCCCACGGTCTAGAAAAGATAGCTTGTTAAATCCAGCTTCGGTCACTGATTCAGGTTGCAGGCTCTGCTCTGATGGGTTCTTAAGGTGGCTGTCAGCTCTTCTGCTTGCTAGGTTTCAAACACGGGAATACTGACAAGAAAGTCCTAACCAAGGCCTGGTTATCTCCAGATGAACACAGTGTTTTATGACCAATCCTAGTAATTCTTTCACAATTTTCAATGATATAAAACAAAGCAAAGCTATGAAAAAGAAGAAGAAAGCAAAGAGTCTAGTAAAGTGAGGTAAATACCTAATCCTAGCTAGTCACAACTTTATAAACCTCAGTCTTTGATTGGAACTAATTCCACAAAACCTTGACGGAGCCATTCACTCAAATGCTGGTAAGAGGTGCCGATGTAAATCTCATAGAAGCTTCCTTGAGTATGTTTGCTAAGTCCGGCTGACACAGCTCTGATGGGACACCCAGGGAGAGAGATGGGGATATGCAAGTTCCATGCCACTCTTTATATTTTTCCCCGACTCTATCCATTGTGTGGTTGGAAAAAGTTAGCTTTACTTTAAAAAGAAAAAAAAAACAACCCATGGAAGAATTTGTTTAAATGTCTACCGCTTAAGAAACAGCATGCTAGACCACAGATTGAGAGCACTCAATTTGGACCAGGGCAGAAAACCTTAAGAGGTGCCCTCAGCGAAGCATTTAAAACGTCATGTTAACAGGACTGAAGTTCCCCCCAGGCTTTTTGGTGCTCTATGCCATCATGGTAAAAGAAAGAAGTTTTGAGCAAAGCAAACCTGCTGGTGGTCAGGACCGGCATTTTAAAGTACACTGCAGCAGCTACATATCTTTAAACCAACTTTCAGCCTTTCTTAGTTAGCAGTTGTTATCAACTTCTTTCTTTATTTATTTAGTAACAGGCACATTAGCCTGGGTTTCACTCTCCATGAAAACTATTTTAACACAAAGCAGATTTGTGTCTTTATTTGTTTTGAACCACAAGTAAAAAAGCAATACATTTAGTTTGGAAGAAGGTTGCCAAATGGATGAAAAAGGCCTGCAAGTTTTCCTTTTGGTTGCCCTTAGCATTTACGGTCAACTTTTCCCAACTCAAAACCCAAAGTCTGCTCTCAATTAGCCTGGCGTAAATCAGAGCAACTCCATTGACTTCAGACAGCTTTTCTGGATATAGAGCATTGTGAGACAGAACAGAATTTGGCCAATATTGTCTTTTTTTTTCTTTTACCGGCACCATGGATTTTTCTCTTTTTGGAAGACTTATCGGTTGACACAAAGCAGATGACTGTGGACAACCTGTTTGATGTGGTAAACAAAAGCAAAGTAACTGCCAGAGCAGCTGACGGAGTTAGAAAGAAAAGAAACATGAACACTGTGGGAAGGAGAATGCTGAGGAAGAACTTGAACCTTCTACTGATTTTGGTAGTGAAGTCCAAAAATAACCAAGAATATTGCCCAAAACAAAATTTAGTACAGTGTAAGAGTGTGACTTTAATCTTTAATCATGTCCGTCAGAAGCAATTCCACTGAACTTGATGGTGCTAATCCACTGTAAAACTAGACATGGACATCTGCAACCACACACAAAGTTGAGATACCAGCAGGAGCAACACAATAAGATCATCATTAATATTGTTACATGTCTCCTATTGGTAAAGAAAATGTAGTGAAGGAATAAAGAGACTGAAACCCATTTTGCAGACTATTTTTCAGAAAATACAGCACTGCAAAAACTTATTGCAAACTTTTTTCCTCCCTCAAGAGGGACTAGGATTATGAACCAAAAGAAGGTCATTAGCAGAAGACAGGTCTTTCCTGGATGAACAAAAGTTAGTTTCCATTTAGAGAGGTAATAAGTAATTTTTATCCATTTGTACAGATTCCTCTCTGCAACATTAATGATGGAAGCAGAAGGGACACAACAAGCATTTCTTTTGATAAAAACAGGTGATGCCCGCATCATATTTTAACATATGATTTTAAAATTTCATTACAAATTGCAGCAAGGCCTGAACTTATGATGCTCTATTAAAATCCTTTAAACCAGTAAATATGTTGCATCAGAGACCACGTGCTCAAATTTGAAAACTTGATTCCAGTAGGAATAATGCAGAGAGAAAAACCTCTTTCCACTTGAGGTTAATTCAAACTTTATAAATATGTAAAAACTTTGTACCAGTCATTCAACTTCACTATTTTTCTGTTTAAAAGTTAATGAATAGAAGCCATGAAGCATTTACTTTATTTTTTTGTCCCAGTTTAGCTATCAGGTGTAGAGATACTGTTGTATTCATCTGGACTGTTTCACTGAAAGCTGAGAGACTTACTGGGATATGATAAAGCAGGAAGGCTGGTTTTCTTCTTCCTACCACAACTACAGATTTGGGTAGATGATGAGACTAAAAATGTGAAGAACAGAATCAGCTTTTCTGAAACGGTTGTTCACCAGAAACCCAGCAGGATTTATTGAAGAGCCAACGGTTGACTAGCTTCTTGTTATGGCAACTTTGAAAATTTCACTGGGCATAGAACTTGCGTCTTCGGATACTGAAACATATTCCATGGTCTGTAATATCCAATGGGAAAAAACCTGATTTGCTAGCCACCAGTAATACTCCCTGTCTTTACCTGCTAAGAGGGCTGGAGAATGGGGGGAGAAAAACGGATTTTTATTTAACTAATACATGAAGTGAAGATCAGTGTTGCATAAATTCATAACTGAATGCCTCTTTCCTTAGAGAGGCAGGTGAGCAAGTTAGAAATTCCAAATGGAGTTGAAGAGAATTATATTCCTAGAGAAGGTTCCCAGGACAACTGCAACATGAAATTAAATTTGACTGCTTAAATGAAGATTTCTTTCTTGGATTTAAACTTAAATTATGCTTTAAATTATGTCAGCTTCAAGGAGGATGCAGAGCAGAACTGGATGATTTTTTTCAGAACACGAAGATAATTATTGAAATCATGCTATGTTGGTGAAAAAAATATTTCAGAGAACTCATGAAACTAATCTGCCATGTTTCTGATGCCCCGATACCAAAAATCAGCTCAAACACAAATTCATTAGGAACTACGGAAGACTGCAAAATAAAGCTAGTAAGCAAACATTAATAGCGAGAAAACGTATTGGTAGCAGTTGTTATCCTGCATGACTTTTATTTGTTTAACTACAGTAAGAGAATTAACAATTTTCGTAGAGTTGAAGCATCCCCTTATTTCTAATCCAAATTAATCAGTTTAACAAATCAATGGTATCTGCTGCACATCCACGGGTACAGATTCTTAATCACATTGGTAAGTCATGAAGCAGGGCCCAAGATCATGCACGAGGCTTTCCATGCAGAGCGGCTGAAGCCCCCAGCTGTACTCACACTGAAGACGCTTTAAACTCAGCCTCAAATGCACTGCCATCCTTGTCCTCAGCCTGCAAGACCACAGGGCTCTCAGCCTCCAGCTCACTAAAGGCCCAGCCAATAGAAGGTGATGGGAAACAAGCATGAATGTGTTGTGAAACGCAAGGAGAAAAAAGGAAAAAAAAAAAAAGGCCATTATGTGGTATACAACACGCAACTACTGTTTGTATTATCTGGAGTCTTCTATTTTCATATTGCCTGAAGCCATTAAGCTTTAGTCAACTCAGCTTGCTTTGCAAGAAGGGCTGCTTTACATGTAATGCAGGATTTTAAGCCTCTAAGTTCACATCCAGTGCTAACCAACGGAAACCCCCAAAGAACTTCCCAAACGTTATAACCAACACAAGATACGCTCTTCGTGGAGCATGCTTCCGTTTTGCAAATTGCACCTTGAGCCATGGGATGACAGATGTGTCCAGCTTTAGCTATCTGCAGCGCATGTATCTTCACCTGAGCTAGTCAGCCAGATTCCCTTTATGGTCAACAGAGAGAAAAAGCCAGTTTCGGAGCATGATTCATCTTGGTTGAAATTTCAGGCATGTAGAATACATTAGATAACTGAAGGCCTAGCAGTGCTTGCTGCACTCCACTGACATCAAAGGAAGGCAAGCTGATCAGACATCTGACTTAGGCAAAATTAATTCCAGCCCTCTTGTGAGGTAGTCAGACATGCTGAGGATCTGCAGCGCCCTTTTTTCCTAAGCATGCACAGCCCAAGCCAACCGTTATGGGACTGGCAATGACACTAGCTTTGACTGACTCCAGTGTTACAGACTGCTGCTCAACTAGTCGTTACTGTCTTTCTTTCACTAATTATAAAACATTAGATACATTCGCTACTACAGTGTAGCCTCAAAGGAAAATATTTATGCTGGAATGCTGATTGCAAAGGGGGGGGGGAAAAAGAATGAACTGTAACTTACACAGGACAAATAAGACTGCATTAATGTGACTATGCCCTTGTTACAATCTTCTATATGTTGCTATATTGAATATAAAATCTGTCAATGGATGAGATTAACCTTGGTTAGTTCCCATATCAAATGATCTACCTCATGTGCTTTGGGTCCATTTACTTAGTGTAGATGGTGCCAAAGAACTTATCTATGTAGATAAATCAAGTCACCTACAAATCCGTTTTTTTGTTGTTGTTTTTTTTTGTTTTAACTTTAAATATGCTTTGTTTTTTTTTAATTCATCTTCTATATGTTGCTATATTGAATATAAAATCTGTCAATGGATGAGATTAACCTTGGTTAGTTCCCATATCAAATGATCTACCTCATGTGCTTTGGGTCCATTTACTTAGTGTAGATGGTGCCAAAGAACTTATCTATGTAGATAAATCAAGTCACCTACAAATCCGTTTTTTTTGTTGTTGTTTTTTTTTGTTTTAACTTTAAATATGCTTTGTTTTTCTTTTTTAATTCAATGGAAAGAGGGAAAAAAGAAAACAAAAGCCTGGCAGATTAATAAAGTGCAATGAACATAACGGAAAATAATAGGGGAAAAGAAAGGAGTATTCCCCAGCTCATGCACTTACCTCTCACTGAGATCTTCAACGTGCTGTCCGTGGCCTAGCATGAAGCTAGGGTTCGGCTGACCGCATGGACTCGCAGGGGCTGATAAAGTGCTTTTGACGTTCTGTACCGAGTGCCTGCGGCTCCGTCGGCGCTCTAACCCCCTCCGCTCACTAGCACCAAGACTGGCCCTTCTCCGGTCCTTGCGCCCACTGGGAGGGGGGTCAGCACTCTCGTCTCCATCCTCATGTCTCAGTGTCATCTGAGAAAGAAAGGAAGAAAGGCGAGGCTTCTGATACAGTTCCTTTAGGTACCACAGGTCTTCACACCTAGGCTTTAAAAATTAACTGATCTCAACATGATTAACTCCTATTAGCGTCACCATTTCTATAGTGATCCCTGTAAGTTTCTGTCTATCTGTTAGTGCAGTGTAGCAGCTCTAATAATGGAATTATATACTGACGCCTTGTATAGAACACTACAGAATCTGTAACAACACATTTTTATATATCCTAGTTTGTTTTTTTTTTTAATGTAGGACTTAGTTTTCAAGGAAAGTGAGCAGTGTTGGACACCTAGCTCTCTTTATTTCCTTCCAAAACACTTAGGTGAAGTCTTGGCTCTAGTGAAATCAACAGAAAAAACTCTCATGCATTGACTGACTGAACATTTCCTCATGTTCAGACATGACACTTGTAATGATCGAGTGGCAGTTACCGCCTACTACTTTAGAAAGTATTTTAGAATAGTGCCATCGTTTCCTCCCAGCCAAGGAAGAGATCAGCAGATGTATATGTAACTGCATTCCTCCTAAAAATCTCCATTTTTACGGTTCTCCCTGCAAAGTAAACAAAGGAAAAAAAACCTAACAAACAAAACTGTTTCTGTGAACTGGTACCACAACGGATTGAAAGAAAAAAACGCAGACCACATGTCTCCTCTAAGCCTCCCAATTTTTAGGTTAGCATAATTACTTTCACGTATGCCTTTCAGTGGAAAATTCAGTATTTCCTGCCAGTTCAGAAGCACTGTCGATACAGAGGAACATATGTATAATATCAGAAAAGAATGATGCTGAGAATAGCATGGCCACAATGACATTTGACAGAAACCTCTGACATGGGTTAGGAGCTCATCAGTTGGAAATAGTAGAGGAGTAAAATACGTGCGCAACACCTAGTATCTTGAACTACAGCACGCTGTTGACGTGCCAATATGACATACTTCTAACAGAAACAAAGCAAGTGGTACCTTAGGGTATGTAAGGAGAGAGATTGCTGGCAGAAGCAACAAAGTTACTGGTGGATCTCATCTGAAATGCAGCATAACATTTAAGTAATCTTTTTATGAGAAAGATCCATTCAAAAAGGCAGAGGTACAGAAGAGGGCGATGTGGGTGATCAGAAGAATGCATATCTTCTTGTTTCTATTAGTCTTGCTATTCTGATAATTCTTACCAGAAGTGACTTTAACAAAACAAAGGCAGGGGGAAGTGTGATATCTCTGCTTAGGGTGTAAAATCTATTTCAGTGGGGAAGACGAGATTTTTCAGATAAAGAACAACATTGGCAGAAAAAAGAAAGAATGTGCATAGGCATATCTGGCCATCAAGAGAAAGCTGGTACCCAACTAAGCCAACTGCTAATTTTGCAATCAAGTCTTTCAGTAGGCACAGCATGCACAAAAAAACCTGCTTTTGAGATTAATGATCATCTTTTAAAAATGATTTTATGAGCTGATGCCTCTGACAATAGAAAAAGAAAGAACATGGGGCCCTCTCATTCTTACGTTCCTATTTTGGCCTGACTCTTCCTGCAAACTGCTGTATATAAAACTTAACTCTGCTAAAGTCAGTGAAGTGACATGGGTGTAGAGTTGATGAAGAAAATGGAGTATCAAATCTACCAAATCCTTTGCTGGACTTGGAGATAAAGTCATTTCATTTCATCACACCAGAACATGAATTCACATTTACATTACATTAACTTCAGCCTAAACCTCCCTGCTCCAACACTTCCCGAAGTCTGAAAAGAGACTAATTATTAAGAAACTGGCTATCCTACCCTTACATATAAATACTTCAGAAGTAGTTATTTTATACCTAGGTGGTGAATGTGGAGTCACTCATTACTCCATTGCTGCAAACTGTATCAGATCTGGTCCAGTGTAAACTCGTAAACAAGGACTTGCTGGGTATTCAGCTGCAGAACAAGTGGCATTTGTGAAGCTGAGCTCAGCCGAACCTTTTTCATGAGCTGAATACTTTTGCATATGGAAAGAACTTCTACTTACTTCAGGATGTGTAACTAGCAGTCTGAGAAAGTTTTAATTGCAGGCAGAACTGCCTTTAAGGAAGCTAGTAAATGTGCTGGTTTGCCTTGGAGTATGCCCCAGCTTTAGTATGAAATGCATTTGCATTAAACGCAGCTATGTATCGCAGCAGGTCACATATATGAATGTGTATAATACTTCTAGCAACCAGATGTTTTTCTTTTAAAATAAAATAGATAACCAAATTTCACCTAGGTTACATTCCCCCCTCCTCTCGGCTTTGAAGTTTGCACAAGCTGTAAGATGCATAAAACAGGGCATGCTATGTTACCTCATAAATGTTAAATTGCTCAACTAAGTCCAAGTCTGTTCCTTTCTTGTTCAAGTGTCTCTGTGAAATAGCTTCAATGCCTAGCTCTTCCAGACAGTCCACCACGTCGTAGAAAGAGTCTTGATCTGGCAACCCCGACAGCGTCTAAGAATCAAAGGAAAAACATTTAAATCTGTTTGTTTTGAAAAGAATTAAACAAAGGTTTTTAAAAGCGGGTGGCAAGTGGTGCTATGTATGATTTCAATAAAGTAAAATCCATGATGTGGGATTAGAGACACCGCTAGAAAATAAAAAACAAGTGGCACAGCTTTTAACAAACAACTCTGTGCACTGTGTAGAAAAATGAATAATTGGCAAAACAAATCGATGTTGTTATTTCATACAAAAAAGTATGGAAAATGTGGGTCTTTAAAATACACAGTTGGATTCTTCCTGGTTTCACTGAAGTACAGATTTAAAGAACAGAGAACGTTAAAGCATCAAACACAGGGATAAAAGCAAAGAGAGAGAAAAAAATGGTTTAGCTAAAAACACTGAAGCTGATTTCCTACTGATTCCTCTAAGTTTGGCCTTAAGAAGAAAAAGTCCAATGCACAGCTGTGTGATGTCAGGACAGCAGGAAATATCCTGCACCATGTGCCTACTGTCCTCCACACCTGCAGCAGAGGTCATCCTCCCAACGCACAAATTGTTTTCTATCGCAGAGATATTGACTCCTTTCCTCCCCTTCAACTTGAAAACTCTTATTAAAGGTACACTGACTCCTGAACTCCTATGTTAAGAGAGTTACTAATTCCCAATTATGGGCTAAGTTGTTACCAGTGACACTGGAGAGGAGCTTTTGCACGCTAGAAAATTAAGAATGCCAATAATAACAGCTATTGAAAATGAACTGTTTGAGTTCAGAGCTTTCTATGGCACCTGCTCTGTGTGCAAGAGAGCACTTTTCTTACCACAGTTATTTCCCATTTTTTTGGTGAATTCAGAAAACTGAGAAAAGGAAGGTGGTCTTCTGCGGTATCCCATGTATACCATAGTATGCCACTGCAGTGTATGTAGCAAGTGGGATTGAATCAAGCCACTCACAGCTTTGCTGCAGTGATGTGCGGGAAGAAGACATGGGCATTGGACAACTTTGTTCAGAGCACAAGTGAACTTCATCTACCAGAGTCCTGCAGACATTTACAAAGACAACAGAAAACACTACTATACTCGTTTGCCATTGATTTCTACTCAGCTTGTGCTGATTTTTTACGGCTTTTTATGCGTGATGCAGAAAAATGAGTCTAATTCTGCTCTTGTTGAGCAGAAACTGCTGAATATACTGTGCAACCTACTTGCAGAGCACTATATACCTCATCGCAAGAATCAGTCTATACAGAGATGCTTCTGCAAAATACGGGAGAGTGCACACTGGAAGCAACACAGTTGTTCTGGATTAGCTCACCAGAGATGCTTATTCTCAAGTGTATATACCCCTCTCCTATTTAATTAGCTAAGTAACTTATCTATACTCCCAGTAGAGGAAAGAAAGAGCAAGAGATAGAGACAGCACATGCAAAAAACAGGCCCTCTCCAGAAAGAGTTTCACCTTCTCATGCCCGGGATGGGATGAACTGTGCTCTGAGAACACTGGTTTTCTGGAGCCCAGCTTTTCCAAAGTGGCTCTGAGCCACAGAGTGCAGAAGAGAGCAGCCACTCTGGGCTGCCTCCCTATATCAAGCAGCTTGACGTTCAGAAAAATTGGTCTGAATTACGTGAGTAACAACAGACAGGTGACATACCCTGCCCTGTTAAAGCACCCCTTTCCTGTCAAATGAGGCACTGGAAAATGTGCATCACCAAGCTTCTTTTTAATTTTTTTTTTTTTTTTTCCTTAAACTAAACAAGAGGCACTGGAAAATGTGCATCACCAAGCTTCTTTTTAATTTTTTTTTTTTTTCCCCTTAAACTAAACACGACACAGCAACATCATCTTCAGTCATTACAGGACTGTTACCTGATGTCTGGTGAGGTCCACCGCAACAGGAATGTTTAGCACAAACACTAATGAAGTGTTAGGGCTGTATGTTCAGGGTTATATGTTCAGCCTCTAATTAAGAATTTGTCTCTGTCCAGGACAGTATTTAAGCCTGTTTAAAACCCACTGAAGACCACGGAACTAAATTTTCCTGAACCGTGCTGAAATTAGATACCATGTGCATTTTCTTCTTTCCTAAACTGACACCTAGCATCGAGTAGAAATCTGAGGATTCAGCAAATGAAGCTATTACACTGTAATTTCAATTTAGCTTTAACACAGATACGGAAATACTACAGCAGAATACGATGTCTATCAGGCTTTCTCTGACTTATGAAAGAAGTAGACAGCAGCTACGATGACCTGAGTGTCGTCAGGCACAGTAAGATGTGATGTCTTACATGCAAAAGGGTGGACAAACAGTCAGATCTTCTGAGCATTTACTTCTTAAAATATCAGGAAATGGTCTTAATGTTGATATGCAGATCACCCACCTTCGAGTATCTCTCTCTCTCTCTCTCTTTTAAATTCTGAGGGCAGGCAGGCTGTAGACAAGGAGAACAGCAGCATAAGGTAGTATTTACTGGCAACCCTGCTTTTGTCAGTAGCCTTTTATTGGTTAATATAATTTTAAATCTTGCAGTGGTGGAAATCCAATTTTCACTGCACGCTAGTGGCCAGAACTGGACAATTGAACTCCCAAGTATAGAAATCAACTATTTTTCCTTTGCACGGTTTGTCATTAAACTCACAGATCCATTTTCGGAGCCTAATGCATATCAAATTCAATTTCTAACATTATAAAATGGGATGTAAAAGGGCACCACTGGTGTCACAACAAGGTTAGTTCAATCTAGCTCAGGAGAAAGATTTTTGCAGTAACTAAGACAAGGGACGTGAAGTGCTTGCATAAATGACTGATTAATTCTAGCTTGTGATATTAGAAAACAAGAGTGGGCCTGCATTTTCCTGGTGTTTTTATAAAGGAAACAAAAGCCACAACCAGCAGAGCAGAGGTCATAAATTGGGCAGGTCCTTCCAAGGTCCTTGCTCCTTCCCGAGTATCTGGTTAAGTTCAAAATGATACTCCCATATCGAAATACACATACAAGTCCCAAATATTTCCTCCTGCTCTGAAGACTGAACCTTACAAATTGAAAACCTGTCTAGAGAATTAAAATTTAGTCACTTGGAGAAGCGTTTTTAAACCATACTCAGGGGTTTGCTTGCTGAATTCTGTTACGTTACCACTAGCCTAGACCAAAACTGGGATTTCAAACCTGAAACTCTTCAGAACTCAGGTGTACACATGAAGCATGAATATGAATGTCAAGACTCATTCCTATGCCTCTATCCAGTTTTGTTTTGAGGAAACATCCCTGAATTAAGATTTTTATTTGTTTGTTGTGTGATTTTCCAAGTTGCTTTCTCAAGCCCTTGTGGGAAAGCCTTTGAGTTCTTCCCTCTGAAGGGGCTGCTTTTGGAATGGTGAACTAAATCAAAACCAAAACCCCAGCCTGAGAGTTTTGATATATCTTCTTAACATTTTTACCAAAGCCTAAACAATATGTCTTACCTACCACTAACTGTAACAGTCCCAATGGAAAGAAAGGCAAGAAAACTAATGAAGTTGTATTGGGGGCTAAAAAAAAAAAAAAAAGTTTTATGGGAGTGTACCAGTCAAATGTTTTCCTAGATGATAAAACCTATTAGACAACATACTCAACTGGTAATAGCACAATATTCTTATCACTACATATCCTCAGTTACATTTCTGAACAAAACCTGACATAAATTAGTGCTACACTATGCCTGGCTGCAGGCTGAAAGGCTCTCTTTATCTGCAGTTTTCAAAATGTGTAGCCCTGGATGGTACTAGCTAGTAAAACTAGTTAAGTATGGTGCCTTTTGTAATTTACAAAACAATCAGAGTATAAAGCAGTGGTGCAGAGAGGATACAGACAACAGAAAGTCCATTTGGTGTGCAACGCTTTACATGCAAGTCCAAGTAATCTAAGAGTACTGCTCTGGTTACCAAACATCCAACAGACTGGGCTTCACTACAGGGCCCACGCACTCGATAGAGCGACATTAGCTAAATCTTACATGCTACAGTGAAAAGCACTACATAGTAAATAAACACGCTTAAGGGCATTAGCCAAGTTTTCAATTGCTTTGGGATAGGAAGAAGCATCTCTCATATATGTGTTTTCCTAGGAACCACAACTTCTTCTAAAACATCTGGTGCGGCCAACATCAGACACAGGACGTAAGATGATCATTGTTCCAGTGTGGCAGTTGCAATGTTCTTAAGGCAGGTCACCGAAAAATGACGTGCCAGCTGCTGTTTTAACACCACACTGGCCTGAAACAGCACTTTTTCAACTACAGCTGATGGACCGCTGGTGGGTGGGACTCTAAGCTCCCACTAGTAACCGCCAGCCTGGAAGCTGGTGCTTAAATTCTAGTCTTATATTGGACGTGCTAAAAAACATTCAGTGCTTAATCTGACTATACCAAAATGTATTAATTTTTGTATACCTCATAATTCTTTTATCTACCTATTTTTCTTATTAAATGTATTGTATGATATGAGAGAACAAGCAATATTAAATACAGGTAAAAAGAAAATCAACAGTAATCTTACAACTACAAAGCTTCCAGTGTAATCTCAATAATGAAGAGGTTTTATAGCAAGTAAATATAAAGTGAATTGAATGCAACATAGAATTTTCTTTCTGCATTTGATGAGTGGGTGGGTTTTTTTTTTAATATAAAGGAAACACAAAGGCTTTAATCTATCCAGACCTCAGTAATAAAAATGAAGAAAGCAGAGATTAGAATAAGATCTAACAGATCATAGGAACTAACCAAAGGAAGATAACAAAGGTTATACTGGAACTATACATAACTGGAAGTATCTGCATTGGGATCAATCTCATTTATTAATTAGAGATTCATGAATGCCTAAATCCCCCCAAATTAAGAGAGGGTTAATGAAATGTTAGTGTAAGTAAATTGGTTAAGCATCAACAAAAGAGAGGGAGAGGATAAAAGGATTGGAGCAATTCTTATGTCTGGGCAGATGTGTTTTCTGCTCTTGAGCAGGAAGGAAAACAGTCTGTAAATGTATACAGGGAGAAAGAAAAAGAAGAAGTATGCTTCCTTAAGACAAATCCCTCGTGAGGATCTGCCTGCACTGAAAACTTTGACATTTCCTCGCCTAGAGAAGTTGAAACCATCTGAGCCTTCTTTGTATTCTCTGCGGGGGAAAAAAATTACAACTGTGACATGCTGCTTGCTGTTTTCTCTATAATCATGAAAAAAATCCCATTAAAAACATCATAAAGCTGTCCATAAGCCAGATCATAATTATAAGTGTGGCATTGTGGGATTCCTCTCTTCCTTGATCTTCATAACTGCCTTGCTCCTTTGACTGCGAGATGCTTTTTCTTTTTGTGTGTTATTAAAGAACTACCTCCTCCCAAAATAGCTTTAAATGTAGTGAAAAACTGAGACTAAAGGAATCAACTACAGGATAATAAAAGAGTCAACATACAAGAAAATTTTTGAAGAAGTCAAACACCAGGTAAATTACAACTGCGCAAATGATGAAGGGAATTATCTCAGAAAGAGAAATCGGTACACGAAACGACAAGGTGTAAAATGGAGATGTCAAAAACTAGTCACCTCGGCTTTAATAGCAGCTACAGACAGAAGCATATAAAGCTGGTGATGCCTTTCAGAAAGAGTACATCAGTGAGATAAGGTGGTCTTTTAAAGTCAAGAGGATCCTTACTACCACGTAAGCAGGAGCAAGGGCGGCTCTAAATAAAAGTACAGTAACATCAGTGATGTCACCAGGAGAGGTTAGTCCCTCTCAGGCATCTTTGCAGGACAGTATCTGCCATTAAGAAATTATTTCATAAAAAAACCACCAAAGCAACCCATGTCCCCAACCATGTAGCCATGAGCACAGTAAGCTGACAGCTTGATTTATGACCTCCACCGACAAACTCAGGATCTTTAAATGAATATAATGAATAATAATACTCTGGCCTATTAAGTATAATCATAAAACACATGGTTATTTTGATTTGCTAGTAGTATGTTGATCTTCTGTGCTCTTCAAAAAATCCATTTTTAATTTTAGTCATCCTAAGATTTGTTTAGGACTAGACGCTAATTTTTAAGGAATTTACACTAATAAATTTCTAACTTTTACGGGCCTTTCACTTTCTCCCTTCACACATTTGATTTTACTGCAAAACTACTACTTGTAATACAGGACACCAGAAAATATAAAGAAAGAAGAAAAAATGTAACCTCATTTTTTTTAAGCAGAAACACTCTTACTAGCACTCAGACCTGTTAAATTCATCATATTTGGTTTGCAGTAAAAAAAATTTAAACTATCTGAACTAGAAAACTGTGCACAATGCAAGCTTGTGTGAGCATGTGATCTTTTTCACCAGCACTTGCTTTCTTTCTCCCCTTGGATAATGTGTTGAGTTAGTTTGTTGAGTTTTGTTTTGCACTGTGTTGTCAATGTTGGGAGAGGAGCCATGTCATAACACGTTTCCGCACAGCATCTAGCAAAATAGCAATTTTGCTCCAGCTGCTGCCTCTGGGCAGTAACAAGAGTGTGCTGACTGATTACAGCTTGTCCTGCAACTTCTCTGGGAAAGGTCTCCTTTGTCATATATTCTCAACAGGGAAGATTATTATACAATTGAAAATACTAACATTAGCTCCACCAGTTATGCCAACAAAGTAAACAAACCTTGTTAACCAAGGTCATTGCGTAAACCAGTAGTTCGGTATCAACCCCATCCTTCTCCTCTAGGATCTCCATGATGTTGGACCACGGCTTGGCTCCTAGAGGAAAAGCAGAAACCATTGGTGATGGTGATCAAAATGGAAAGCTATAGCATCAACATTTATCCAAGAGGTAGCACAAGGTGGAACGATGTGGCCAGGTGGAAGGTAAAGTGGAAAGACAGTTATCTCCAGCTTCCTCTACAGTCTCCCCTGCTTCACAGAGAGTGAAGTTAATACAGTCAGTGAAAGCTATGGTACATCCTAATGCAAGGATCTAAAATATGCCAGGTGGACTTGCCCCAGAGGTACCAATTTCTCTCCCTCGATGATGAAGGAAGTTTTGTTAGCCCAGTTTGATTGACAGTGAACTTCTAAAATCAGGTGGGAGGAATTTTACCCCACCTGTCATAGGTTCACATAGGCTTAGAGAAATCTTTAACAAAAATCTATATGCTACTCTCTCAGTGCATTTGGTGCTTACATTCCTAGTGATATTACTGAGTTACGCTGCATTAAGATAAGTCCTGTTAACAAAACAGTGCAGCAGAGAAACATAGTTTTCTCAAATTACAGGCTGCATGTCCCGGATAAAAGAAATGATCAATGAGGGGAAAAGATTTTTGCTGTGGTTCTTACTCAAAGTATTTTAATAAGAATTCCCTCTACAGAACTTTCAGATACATTTCTCTCATTTTTCCACTAAGTAAGGTCAAAATTTGTGCTTCTAGTTACGACGTATTTGCTTGATTTGCATGTTGATTTGCATTTGCATGATTATCTGATGCCAAAACCCAAGCAGCTTAGTGAGTTATTGTGCCAAAACCGTCAGACAGGCAATGACAGACAGACTCAAGATAACCTCTCGTGCGGAAGGTACCTTGTAAAACCAGCCTACTTCATTTGGCTAAAAGGCAGATAGTTACATTTATTAAAGAAAAAAACCACATAACTCTTTTATCTAGGAAACTGAAGTAAATAATGAAAGACTATAATTCAGTGTTTTGTTTGGAGTAAAGTTAAAGGTGAAGAGGACGAAGCAGAAAGCTAACCCTAACCTAGAGATACTCAATTCAACTACACCAGCATGACTGCAAGAGTCTTTGAATTTCAGAGGGAAAAATGCAGAGTATTCCAACAGCCCACATGCCCTAAATGCTACAGGGATGACGATAGTTTGAGTATAATCAGGCAGTAAAATGCAGATGTTTCATCACCACAACCTGTTGCTGACTGATCAGTGACCCCGATGTTAAAACTCTGCATTACTCTCACAGTGATAACGGCCTTTGTTTATTCATGCTGATATATTACATATATCCTGCTACACAGACATCGAATCTCTGCTAACCAAGGATCTCCATTTTCAAGGCGATGGCAGTGCACTGTGTGGAAAAACCTGTCTATTAACGAACACAGACAGCAATATTTCTCCTGTTTTCTCTTCCCTTCTTTTTGAGACATGCTCTGATCTTTACTACTGAATAATAAATCAAAGCTTCCTTATCTCGAGCAACATCAAAGAGGGGGGGATTCACTCTCAGCTCTCCAAATGTATTTATGTGCATTACTAATTGGATACTAATTCAAATACATGGCTGTAATGAAAATACACTAGACACCTCTTTACCAGATTCTCTATATTACCAGACATTTTGTGCAGTACATGTTCAAAAGACATGTGGAACAAATTCACTCGGCTCACAAATGATATATGATCAGCAGGAATGATATCCTCACTACAAAAATGTCTTCCTGTGGTTTCCAGTGAAAAATAAAAATGGAAGAAAATAAGAAAGAGAAACAAAATGGGGAAACCATGCAAGTCTGACTTATAACAATGCCATTTAGAAAAAAGCGAGTTGATAACAACATAAAAAATTAATTATTTAATCCATCCTGCATTATTCAGTGAGAGTCCTTCTAGGGAAACATGCCTTTATTTTGCAGGCAGGTTTTATTCTTATTGGAACAATCCTGTTTTGTTTTTTAAAGACAGCATCCTGGTGTTTGATTTTTTTGCCTGAATGTCTTGATACTTCTCCATTATCATAAAAGAATATTTTCAGGATCGCCTGGCTGTTTTCCTGCAAGGATGATATATAATTTTCTTCTACCCGTGCTGCTTCTCTGTTTCAGAATACAATTTTTTAGAATTGTTAATCAGGCACACTTACTAGTAAGGCAGCCTTGTAATAGCTCATCCATCTTTCAAAGGCTTTAATTAAGGTGCTGCTATTAAACTTAGGCAATTTCCAAAATCTAGCCTTGAATTTGAAATTCTTCATCTATTCCCTAACTAATATCAAGAGGAGGCAGTACTATCAATGACTTCGATAGAGGTACTCCAATCCGTACCAGATTAAACCTTTCTTTTCAAATGCTATTTTCCTCATGATGATCTCAAGCTGAACAACCAAGGAGTGAACACGGAAATAACCCACCCGGGGACAAGGCAGTTCTGGTGTGGAAGTTGCACCATGAACTTACTGCATTACTATACTTGGGTTAATATTCCTTGCCAATATATAATGAGAGCCTATAGTTTCCAACCGATGATCCGGACAGCATGGGATATGGGCAGATCTACAGCAGGTGTCTGCTCTCATCCACTCTCATGCCCTGAGTTTGGCTTTCCAAATACGTTGTTCCTGGAGAGTCACCACTTAAAGGTGAGACCACAGGCTGGAGTCTGCATGAAAAAAATAATTTTCAAGGCAATATTTTTTTAATGATAGGATGATAGTGAAAAAACTGCTTCTCCTCTCAAGCTGCATAGAAAAACTTTGTGAAAGATACGTTGGAAAATCATACACTAAAAAAATTGATGACTTTTCTAAACTCATTGGCTGCTGTAGTAAAACAATGATGCTTATACAAGAGATATGAAAAACATGATGTATATTTTCCCTTTTCCTTTAAAAGGTTATTTGTATTGTGGAGAATATTAAAAGCTCTCCATTTATAGATGAAGAGGAACCTCTGAGGAAACTATTATGCAGAGCTAAAATCTACAGCTTCCATTTTCTGTGTAATGGTCAGAATATAACAAATCCTGAAAAGCCTAAACTCAAATCTAGGTTTGGCAACGCATATGTATTTCTAGTAAAAAAATGTAAATCCATTTAGTATTCGTATATTACGGAGTTTATTTTTAAAAATAGTAAGTGTAATCATTTACGCTTGCCAATTCTCAAAAAGGTTTACTTTCCAGCCTGTCTCCTCCACCCAATCATGATGTATAAGAATGATGATGTAAAAGAACGATGATGTAGCATCCCAGCAATTCTTCTGGGAGCAGACCGGGATGTTCCCATAAGGTTATGACTTCCATGCAGGACTCGCGGCAAAACTGATGAAACAGGCTCACCGAAGTAAAACAGCAGAGATCGAGGTTTGTGTGTGTTCTCCTGCCTTCTAATGGGTGAAACAAGAACTGCTCGACTGCCTTTCACAGGCTTCTCACTGGTAACAGCTCATTATCGTGGCTACTCCGACAGGAAGGCTGGAGCCTCAACCCTGATGCTACTACAACACTCCAAGTAGTCACGCACGGATCATAAACACACGGAGAACTATGGGGTTGCAATAATTAAGCCTATATTAAATTAATACAGTCTACTGAATAATGTTGCCCATTGTTCTAAGTCTCAGTCTTTTCTCAGTTTCCCCTTTAAATGTTTTTACATATGAATCTCAGGAAAAAAAGAATTATTTAATGCCTTACACAAATCTTGACATCACAACTACACAGGACATGCACATTATGTATAAACCATGGAAAGCCTTCCATCAGGCCAGAACCGTACATGAGGACTTCCACCAACTTACAGAGTGCCTGTCTCTTAGTCGCCATAGGATGGAAAGATATTAATAATTTTGGAAAGACCTCAACATCTTGTATTCCTGGCTATTAAAATATGTGTGAACATACAGCCTTCTGTCATACCTACAATATGGGCATTAATTTACTGGATAGCTAACTGTGCGAAATGGCAGGAAACGTGGAGATACTGGTAATATGGGCCATTTACAAATAACGTAACAAGAAGTCAGAATTCACAAACGGTATGTGACAGTGTCCAGGTCAGCCACAGAGCTTTAATCTCTGTCCTAAAAAATGCTCGTGATAAAGCAGCCCCAGACAGCAGAGTGCAATGCCAGCTCTGCTTTCCAGAGCCCGCACAGTCCCGGTATGCTTAAACTGAAAAGAGACCAAATTCCTGTGGGGCTCTGAAACAAGAAAGGGCGGGGGAAGGGGGATCTAGATGGAAGTATAACTAGAAGCTACTTCCTATACGACGAGGGCCATGCAGTTATTCACTTACGGTCTGCTTGTATCTGAGAGTAAAGCCGGCACTTCCATGGATCTCTGTACTTCAGTTTGCATATGGATGTATTCTTGCATAGAAACCACAGATGGGATCGCTTTGAAACCAGCCTGAGTTATTATGGGGTTCTTTATGTTAATCATGTGTGGTACACATGTTGAGGAATTATGTCATATCTCATCACCTTGTATGTACATGAAACACTGGACTTTTTTCAAAGCAGTGCTAAACTTAATTATATACCTGCAAGATTTATGACAACATTTCAAGAAAAGGCACATCGCTTTTTCTTCCTCTGTGTTTCTGTTCCATTAAATCAGTCATTAAAGACAGGTACTCTTCAGTTATAAGCCACTAATTTAAAAATGTAAATTAAAACAGAACATCCACAGCCAGAAGTGAAGGGCTATTACACTGATGACCTAAAAAAGGAACTAAGTCTAAAACAAGGGAAAAAAAAAATCTCTTTTGTAGCTAAGCATAACTGCTTAATAATTAAAACAAAAAAGGAAGGAAGGAAAACTGGGTATTTGGGGCTAAGTTATTTGCAAGAGTTCATGAGACAATCTGCCAACCCACAGGTATGAGAATTCCCATAAACCCTCTCCTCATGCTCCTAACAAGTATCCATCTAACTACGTGCATCACTTTTTTTTCACGTTTTCTGTTGTTACTGAAGTTGTTTTATTACTTTGGGGCATGTAAATGTTTGCCTGAGGCTGTTTTACAGACACAGAAGGGAATACACAGCGCATGGTAGTGTGTTTAGGGTCCTCCTTTCACTCTCTTTTTTTTCTTCAATAAGGTTTACTAGCATGTGAACAGATGACAATTTGAGCATGTTGAGAATACCAGTGAGTTCACAGAGCTGAGGAAATACTAAGGACGACTGTAAAAATAAATCATGGCGCTCACAAATGCATGAATATTGTAATTACATTTCTGCTTATGGCATTGTAAGGTTTATTGGTTTTAATTCAAAACAGAAAGCCAACCTGAAGAGTCCACCATTCAAAGTGTTACACTGGTTTTGAATTGCCCCATCTGGTCCCCTGCCATGAGAGACAATTTGGGGTTTTTTTGGGTCTTTTCAACACACTCATGCTGATAGCTGAAAGCAAAACCTGGCTAGCTTCTCCTATTTCTGGCACCACCTTTCTCCCCATCCCCCAACTTTTTTTGTTTCACTTTTACCATATCAAGTCGCTCAAACAAGTTCAGCATGGAGGCAGTTGCTCCACAGAGGGGATCTTGCTTTCAACCTCCATGTGTTTGAGACCACAACAATGGCTCTCCCAACCTCAAAAACTCTCCTTGAGCCAAAGGAATGTTTTGCATCAAGAGAGAATGCCCTGGGAGCTTAGCAATGGCTTTGTGGGAAGAACAAGAAAGAACCATTTTTGTTCTATTTATTTGTAAAAAATACAGTATACATATTCAAGTATTTTTCAAGAGCCTGAAGGGTAACAGATTTCATAGTATAATATCTGCTCAAGGGCTTTATTTTAATGTAACAACAGATGGTTTTACTTTTACTATAAAGCCTGTACTATTACTGACCTCGTCTTTCTCTTCAAAGGGATTACACTGATTAGATATCATTTTCTCTTCTAAATCAGACTGCTGCTTCTCAGAAGGACGTGGAAAGACAGCCTGGCCTGAAGAGCCTCCAAGGTTGGAAGATGCAATGGGGCTCACTTTGCGCGTGGGTGCAGGGAAGGGGCATGACTGCGGTGCACAGGGAGGCGGCCAGGTTCTTTGGCTTTTCACTCTTCACTTTCCCACTATAACTCATTCCTCAAAACAATCTTAAATTGCATGAATACTTAAAATATGCTTTTAATCAAGAAATGAAGGGTATGTCACACAAAGCAGGCATCACAACAGCAACCCTAGAACCACTGAAATCAATGATGAAATGCCACCCTGATCTCAGCGGTGCTGGGATTTTGCACCCCCCAAGTAAAGCTACTCACCTCTCTTTTCATCAACGGTAGATACTGCCTGGATTAAAAGCGGTGCATTGGATTCGGTATACTCCACAAACACCAGCAGCAGCTTCAGCGCTGTCTTTACCACCAGGCGGAACTGGAAGGAAAGAGTGCAACTTGTCATTCAGCAAACCACAACATTTCCAGATGTGCTACATGACACTGGGCAAGATGCAAGCGCAGCAATTCAGATCTGGTAGTAACACACGAACGGAAGAGATTAAGCTGTGCCAGGACCGAAAAAATGAAAGGTAGCCAGCTGGCTGAAAATTTCATTCACTGGACAGTGCTCTCCTAGGGAAGTCTCAATAGTCAATGAATCCGAACAAAAGCTTAATGCTGCCACACATAATCAAAGGTTGAACATCCCACCTATGCATGCACCTATGCATATCCCCAACATTGCTGTCCAAAGCCTGATGTACGCAGAATCTACTGAGCTAAGAACACATATATTCCTCTATTTCTTAACACAGCATTTATTTCCCCCTTTCACTGCGAGCTTTTAATGTTGTCAAATTGCTGTATGATGGGATGGTTTTCTCCTCATGCTTTTTTCTTTTCTTATAATGTCAATATTTAATGCTTAAATAATTAAATATATCAATATTCACTATTTACACAACTTGGGAGAAAGACTGTTTAATCTCTAACTATCCCACCCTGTCACAAAATGTGTGAACTGAGCTTTCTGTCTGTAAGTTTTCAAACTAATTTTTGAACATCCTCAGGAGTATGAATTCAGCAAAGACTCGATATCAATATATGGCAGACCTACTGGAAATCAATAGCCAAACTCTATCAGTTTCATCACAGCGCTCTCATTTCCAGAGAGGGCCATTTGACTATTAGCTAATTTTCAAAGCGCTGAGTAAGAATTTTCAGGGACTTGCTTGGCACGATCAGGTATGTGAAAAAACATCTCATTACTTAAGGGAATAGTTGGAGTTTTTAATAAAAGGATATGAGAAAGAGGATGACATTTTAATAGGCAGGGCTCCACATGCCCAGCTGAGAAGACTTTTACTAGGAGAATTGATTCTAGGTCAGATCTGTTACATCCTCAATCTAAATCATGGATTTAAAGCCAAATAAAAGGGGATACACCGCTGGTCCCAGAAACACAATTTCCCATCTGCTGCGATTGAATCAAGCTCCAGAAAAACAGGTATTTGTAAGTTTACTGTGTTTTTCTGCTAGCTTGTTCTGCAACAAATCTATCCAACAGCGTGTAAGATTTTTAACGTGACAGCTATAGTAATGTGGTCATTACTCTCTCCTTTGCCATCAAGCTACCGCATTCAAATTGCCACTCACGGAGACATACTAGAGCTCGTGTTAAGGTAATGAGCTAAAATGCAGGTTGCAGCTTACTGCTATAACACTGAGTTTAGTGGGAACAGTGACCCAGGTATTTCCCTAGCTTCTCAGGTGTTACCCACTCGTGCTGAATTGAGCTTAATGCACTGCAATGATACTACCTAGCAACATAAAATCTTCCGTTGTTGAATCTAGACTCTTTCAGACTTGATGTATCATCGAATCAGTTATTTTTAGGGCTGACAGCCAGGAAATCCCCGTGACAAACCTGACCAGGTCCCTTGAGATGCCTGGTTAGCCTAATTTGCAGTCGTACTGCTGCAGTGATACTTCATAGATACATGGGGTAGTCAAATTAAAGGAAATTGAAATCCAGTGACACACAGCATAATCGTTCCTTGGAAAGGCACTGCTGATACACCAACAAATCACTTCCTCGCAATTGCACTGGACATCTGTGTATTTGCCTGGCAGGCCAATACCACACTGTTTCTGCTTTGCAATAACATTTTCCTTAGCAATCAAGTTCAATTGTTTGATAGACATATTGTAAGAATTTCCAGCATGTTTCCACTTGTTTTGTAAAGTTAATTCATAAAACAGGAGTTACCAGATTACTGTAAACAATTCTAGCATTAACATACCTCCCAGATAACCACCTGTGTACTACCTACTAATCTGATCAGAATCCTTTCCCTAGAAAGGAAATCTTGGATATTACTTTTGATGGTCCTTAAAACCTCAAGGCTTGGCCACATGGTGACAACGGGATGCATTTACACATAAGTACTTAATAGCAAAGATCCCATGTGTTTCCATTTGACAGCAATCAGTGGGGGACACATCGGGCTTACGTCTGTTTTTTACAAATCGCTTTTTCTTCCAGAAAGCAAGAAGGACCTTCTGCAATGCCTTTGCTCTAACTGTTGCCTGCTGGCCATGGCAGCTGTGGTAATATGGAGCTAGTCCCTGCGCACCTTGCATCTGCCACGCTGCAAACCTTGTAAAGCCTCAGGGCAGCCCACTGCAGTTGCACCAGACCAAGGCTCAAGCCAGCTGATTATTCGGGTGCTGTCTGTAGGCGTCAACCTCCTGTGCTTAACAAGCTAACAGATGACAGTGTAAGGAAGAAATACCATCCAGAAGCAGTCCTGCAGAAAAGAAGTGATTAGAAAAGCTATGTTTTGCTTGCCATTTAGCTAGTAGAAGGACACTTTATGTTCTGTTCCTCAACCTGCAATTTTCAGGGCTTATTCAACTCCTCAAAAAATAGTCAGTCAGCCCTGGGAAGTGGAAGTGTCTGTACGTGAAGGTACATACCATGGCAGCTTTCTGCTGGAAGTCAGCACAGCCACTAGCTTTGAGAGAAACCGCATTTAAAACATGCTGTTTCCTGCTCAATAGAAAATAGCATTTGAGATGCCTGTGGGCACTTTTAAGCCTGCAGGCTGCTTTGGACACCTTGGGCAAGTACAAAACCAAAATACTGCAGTTGTAGGCGAAGCCACACAATGCCTACACTAGGTACTTACTAGCTACCTGTGACCCGCACAACCTTTGCACACATCCTACAATGGGGCATTTTAATACTGCTTTAATAGTGCTTCTTGACAGAAGCAGGCAATCATCGAGTAGCTGCACTGGCCCTTGGAAACTGAAGTCTTCAGCCAGCCAAAGGCCCTCCAAGACACCTGATAGCCTGTCACCCCAGACACAAGGACAGTCCAGAGCCTGACATGCTCACACTAATCAACTCTAATTTTCCACCATGGCACCAAGAAGTCTCTGAAAGGTCTGTTCCAGGGATACTTGCTGCCAAGACCTATGTGAAGCATGGTGTAATTTCTTACATGGCCTCCAATGTGATGACCTACCTGTTAAATGATCCCTTCACGACCCCCTGTGGGCCTGACCTGCCTGTAGCAGCTCATGCATGCTGCTGCTGACACGTTAAGTGTCGGGTATCGCAACAGGAAGGGTTTCAACGAAGACCATGAATGACTGTTTCACAACTTTCAAAATACCAGAGCTATTCAGAAAGATTTCATTTGTGATTAACTATGATGATTACCAAAGTGGGAGATCCTCATATCTTCGTGAGTGAATTATAAAATGTGTTTGCAGGGCATGCCTTTTCAATTATTTAAATAGTAGACAGCTACACTGCAAAGAAAATAACTGTAAATCTCAAAACTGAGAGATTGCTTAACAGGAAAAAAGAGCAGCAATTCATCAACTTTCTTGCTTCCCTTTGTGAAGCCATGGGAGTTTTTGCCAGTCACTGGTATCGTTTTATTTCACATGATGTACGCAGATGGCACAGCAATGGGAGCAATAGAAACAAGTTTCATACTTCATTCACGAGTAGGTGAATCACTGTTCATTTGAATCACTGTTAAAAACTTCACGAAGGCTTTTCTGGGATTTACTGGGCTTTCATTCAGTAGCGAAGATGGACACAACTGCTTTCTGAATCAGTTTCAACAGACATGCAGCTCTGTTAAAATCCACGGGGCAATCACACTATTAGTTCAAACAGGACTAGATGTTGTAAGAGCAATAAAAGAGGTAGAAATATGCTTGTGCTAGCTCAGAAAAAAAAAAAAGCCCTGGTATCATCACTTTGCAAACATAGCATGTTGCAATTAGTTCCCAATTTCTACCCTAAATGTTACTGCTTAAAAGAGTTAAAAGAGATGGCTCACTGAGGCAATATACATACCCACTGGCTCAGTAAAGTGATGTTTTAACAGTTCTGAGATTAAATCAGTATTCTTGAATTTCATAGCACTGAAGTATCAAAACTTTTATTAAGCTAGAAAAAAAAAGTCATATTGTGTTTTTGTATCACGTGCGAGCCAATTTATAGAGAGGAAATGATGTTAGCATCTTCTGGCTGAAGATAAGATGTAGCCAGCAATGTAAAAGGAAGAAGAAAAATTATAAACCTTTTCCCTCTGACTCACTTTACGTTATACAGTGGAGTTTGGCAGTCCCTTTCCTTTTTATCTCTTTCTATTTAGACAATCGGAAATGTGTTACAGACCCAGCCAAACAGACCACACAACAGGCTGCAAAACTCATGTCTCATGGAAGGGCTCGTCCCAGTTGTTAATCACTTGCCAGGAAAGGTTTAAGCCTTTACATGGAATGTTGTCAGAAAGTTCATTGACTTAGAGACCAAAGCAATAGTTGCAAAGTTCAGATTCAAAAATTTAGGATTTTTTTTTTTAAAAAGGAAGAAAGTGAAAACAAAATTGACTAAAAACTCAGGGCAATATAGTTGCTATTCAAATTTAAAGGAGAAATGGGCACTGGATTTTTAACTAAAGATTTACTACAGCCAAAGCCTCCGAGGCCTAATCCAAGCGTGGACATGGCCTCGTAGGCCATGTACTCATTGTGTTGATACGACACAGCCAGGCGGAGCTGCAGCTAAAGAAACATGCAGTGCCACGGGTGTCCAACCCGCTGGTGAGAGGTGCACAGAAAAGCTGAGGCCCTTCTTTCCTGTGGGGTGTGAAGATGCCCCCGACTCCAGATCTAGTGCTGCGGGAACAGCCAGCACCTGCAATGCGGCTCAGTTTCACGTTTCACAAGGGGATAAAACCACCCTCTGTTCACAAGAGAAGGAAAGATCTTCCTGGAATGGAAGATTTTATATATATATATAAAAAGAAAGTATATAATATCTAGTGTATATATATAAAATAACATATTATAATATAATATTATATTTTCCTTGTAGTAAGCAAGGAAAAGGAAACATAAATATTA